TTATTCTGTCCTTAATGTCAGTAATCGGTATTGTAGATTTTGTCAGTGTTGTGTTGGTCAGTGAAGTGACGCCTAAAGAATACTCCTATATATTCGTGGCTGTATGTAGTGTATAAGACACTCAGAGGTTAGAGCGTATGACGGATATAAGGAGTTATACGACATGCAATGTGTACGGCGCTTAGGGACTCGCAAGTATAAATAGTGTAAGATATACAGAAGCTTAGTCGCATACAGTATGTAAGGTGTTTTAGAGGTTAGAACATATATTTGTTGTCTTACTTAGGCGCGCTTATTCTCTAACTTTTATTTATGTTTCCTAACAAATGATCAAGAGCAGAGCACCCTTGTTGATTATGCTTTTTATGATATTAATATTATTATTTAAAAGTAGGTTGCTACTCTCATTGTCATTTGTGAGAAGACATGTTTTAACCTATGAGTAATTATATGTGTGATTAAATATCCGTTATTACCGGTCTTTCATGCAGACTAAAGATTGTCATGACTAATAGGTTAAAGAATGAAGTTTTTGAAAAAGATTAAGATTTTGAAATTTGTCTGGACGTTACAATGAATGACGGAGTTTCGTCGAAGTCGAAGGAGAAATCCTGGTTCCAAAGGAGATAATCCGTAGCTATCAAAGTAGATGCTTCTTCCATGTTCGTCGAGGAAGAAGGCGACCCAATGTTCACCAGGTCTATTATAATCGTCTGTATTAGCGACGATAGCCGTCGACCTCGTTCACACCCTCGGAACTCTGTCGGCGGAATAAACTCCCGCATGCTTGACATCGATATGACGCAATGCTCGTAGAATTTCGCAAGAGTTCATTTTTTTGACGCGAAGATGAACACGCGGATTCTGGTATTATTTGAATAACTTCAGTTTTTACTTCTCCCGCTGTAACGTTTCTGCATGACGATTTGCGCTCCGTAAATCTTTTTTTTCTTCTTCTTCTTTCTTAATTGACTGCTCGACGCTTGACAAATCTTTTGTTTCTATTATACTATTTGCTCGAGTTTTTATATTATGAATTAGAACAGGGTTATCATTTACGCTGCTAACAAAGTAATTTTTACCGTAGCAGGTTTTCTCGTTTTCGTGATCGCTGTCGTCGTTGTTGTCGTCACTGCTCAATTAAAAATTTTCGAAAGAACTACAACTAGTGGGTTGGCTAACACTGAGAATATCACTGCTGACACTATTATTTTGCTCCAGTAGCCAGCGCTCTAATTTGTAAGCGTTATGTAATGCGCAATAAAAAATTTTTCGAAATCCGTGATGCGTGCAATATTGTCCGCACTCTCCCTCCGCCGTTAGATTTTTAAATGCTGGAGAGATATCTTCTAAATTATATATCTCTCTGGAAAGTAGAATCCGTAAGTAATATGCTTTTTCGCTACCTCCGACGTATATGTGCCTCGAGTATCTTATAATTTCTCGTAAACGCAACGTAAAATATTTTAAATTAGCTTCGCCGTCGAACCATTCGATACCGTGGTAATTTCGCGTGAGCCATGTGTTTTGCCGCCTTACTTTTTCGAGTAATTTTCCAAACGGATACGGAGCCATCATAATCCAATGATCGACGATCGCTGCGCCAACCGCGATTTCCTTAGGTAGAAACTTCTTGTCCGCATCGCGGAAGCCTTGTATGTCGATGACTATATCCATGTTGTAATGAAAAATTTCTACGCTTTTTTAGGCGAGGTTTAAGCTTTTCACAAACCGTCAACGTGCGTGTCTCGAAGGAAACTGACTATTTCTTTTCGTAACATCGTAAGATTTTCTTCTCGTAAAACTTGTCGACGAATGGAAGTTGAAGAGAAGAGAGGAGTAAGAAAAATACAGAAAAGTTTTAATCGGGTACGCTGTGACGTGAAAATTGTAAATGCGGCGATAAAAATTTTAACCGGAAAAATCGACGATGACTTGACGCGACGAGTCGATTTCAATTACATTATCAAATTTGGCGTAAACAATACAGTTAATTGTTTCGGTAAGTGGCTTTTCGAATTACGATAGAAGTACGCTTCTAATCGTAAACTGCCATGTCTCACGAGATTCCAATGCCCGGCGCAATTGGCAGACAAATCGAGTGTGAGATCAAAAGCGAAAAGCGTGTACCCCTTGTGACGTGACGCTTTTGGAGCGCCGTTACAAGGGCGAAAAGCCCGGTCGGGTAGGACGCGGGGATCTGGAACGCCCCTCATTTCGAGGAGGGTGCGATCCGTTTACGTTTATTCCGTTTTATTACCGTATTTTTTGCGAGAACCGCAGTTGCGCGCAGCGTCGGCCTGTCGATGCGCGTGCAACACGATTCGTAGAGAGAACGATAGAGACGGTCCGAAAGAGCGGCAGGAGAATGTTGTAAAGCAAGAGGAAGAGAGACAGAGGATGCCGGAATGCCGCAGCGAGGGAGAAGGATGGAGCGAGAGTGAGAGAGAGAGAGAGAGAGCACGGGACCTCGCGCAGATAAGTATCGAGTGACCGAAATTCAATTTAATATCTCTCGCGCAATGTTGATGCCGTGAAAATATTCTAGGATACCGAGAGGATACCGGCCAGCCTACCGCTTGTTCCCCCAGGAGAAATGCCGCAGGAACAAACCCGGAGAAATATCCTCTCGAGCAGCATTAAGATACCGGCGAGAGAATTACCCCAGCTAGGGAGAGAGTGAGGGAGACCCTAGGGCCCCGCCATCGACCCTATTATCGATGGAATGCGCGAGAGATCGGCGCGGCACGTAAGGTACTAAGACGCGCGAGGCCCGACTCTCCACTGTTCGGTGTGCCACGCTACAGAGAATGTGCCTCCTGATCTCCCAGAGTGCGACCAAAGGACCAAGATTCATCGCCGAAAACTGTAAGCCGCCTCTCAGGTAGCCGTAGATAAGTGTTGGTTGGTGCCGTGGGTATTGAAAACCTAGAGTAATTACCGTGAGTACCGTGTCTCTCATTATCGTATCGTTTTTGTGTAGGAGAAAGCGGTCTCTCTCTCTCTCTCTCTCTCTCTCTCTGAGTATCGTACCGCGGAGCCAGCCGTCTTCGAGTTCGCGAACCGAAAGTGCCCTCTCCGAAAAGTGCCGCCGACAGTCAATTGTTTTCGCGAGCGATTATCGTACATTATAATTTACCGCTATATTCAGAGTCACGTTTTGTTTTACATGTGATCTCAGTAGATTTTCGGAATTTGCGTGCAGCCGTTCTCCACGAGTTTGTTAAATATTTCATTTTTTGACTCGGCGAGAGAGTCGTGCGAGAGAGTCACGAAATTGCCGTTGTCTCTTAGTTACTTTTTTTTTCTACCGCGCCGTGTTTTGACATATTGTAAGCGGCGCGTAAATAATTACCGTGATACGCAATGTCCGGCGTTAGCGTCGTTTCCGACACCCGTGCGGTGCTGCCACCGTAGCATATAGGGTGGCCAAAAGATATGCGCGCGCATGCGAGCGCGACCGCGGGCCGTAGGCCGTTAGATTCGAAGTCGAGGAGAACGACTCTCCTTTGAGAAGTGCAAACGAGCAGACGTGTTATTAAATCGTGCGCATGAGAGTACTTTTGAAAAGTGTTAAATTGTAGAAGCATTCCGATCTTTATTAAATCTTTATTACTAAAATCAGTGTCCGTTGAATTTCACCTAACAATGCTCCAATCCTGGCGAGAACCTTTTGCAGTGCGTACGGGCTCCTGTGGCATCCAATTCGCCTTTAAAAATTCAGTCTTAAACACCGGTTACTTGACATACAGAGAACATTCGAGAAGTTTCCAGACGAGGATTCAAAGGAAAGAGACTAACGCTTAACTCTTGAGTCATTTAAAAATAGTACCGCAGACTTTTACATCTCAAAAGTGGGATTTACCACAGGATTGCTCCGATTTGGAAAAGGTGAATTTCGAAATAAATTAAGATACAATAAATCGGGTAAAATACAGTTTATGGGAAACTGGACGATCATTTCGGTACATTCGGGTGTATGGTTCGAACACGAGTGAAGGGCGGGATGGATCGTGCCAGTCTTGAGAAGCTCACTCCGGACGAGTTGAGAGCGGAGGCGGCCAAGTACGGCATATCAGCCAGCGGCAACTGAGCTGCATTAGTGGATTTGATAATGAATCATTTGGAGAAACATGGTCCAGTGGAGGAGATGGTGCAGCTGTCAGCCTCGAGGTCTACGGTGACGGGAGCCACAGCAAAAATGACGAAGGCGGTCCCACAGCAGGCAGAGGCAGCCGGAGCGACGGAGGTCATGCGGCAGATGCTGCAGTCAATGCAGCAGCAACAGCAGACGCTCATGGTGATGCAGCAACAGCAACAGCAGCTAAGCCAAGTACTGCAGCTCCTGGTGGAGCAGCGAGCGGAGGGCAACAGTCAGGGCCAACCTGGACCGTCGAGGACGTCGTCCAATCAAGCATCGTCGCGCTCAACGCCGACAAATGAGGTAAGCCGACGGTCGCATGAGTCATGGTCGACGGGTCCCGCGATGCAGGCGCTGGCGCACCAAATCCCTGAGTTTGCCGGCTCAGAGGATGACAATGTCCACGCCTGGATCAGAAGAGTGGACAAGGTGGCACAAGTTCACGGAGCGACGGACGGTGCGACACTGCTTGCAGCATCAAGCAAGCTGGTGAAGTCCGCTCGTCGATGGTTCGATGTCCAGGGAGACGTGGCCGTCGAATCATGGATCGGGCTAAAAACAGAAATTGTTAAGATTTTTGAAAGAAAGATTCCTTTCTACAAAATTATGCAGAAAATAGAGGCGAGGAAACGGTTGCCAGGCAAGGAGACATTCGATGAGTATGCTATAGAGAAGCTGTCTCTAATGCATCGGGTGGAGCTTCCGGAGGCGGACCGAATCCAGCTGTTGGTGAGCGGCATCCAACAAATTTCGTTGAGGGCCACGGCGCTGTCGCTGACTGCCGACACCGTAGACACCTTCTTGAAGAGGATGCGCGTCATCACGCAGGGAACATCGGAGGGCGACCGGACAACCTGGTGCTCAGCACCAGTCATCCAAACCGAAGGATGCCTCCTGCAGGAACTGTGGGAAAAAAGGACATGGTCATCGAGACTGTAAGTCAGAACAAATTTGTTTCTATTGTAAGGAGCGCGGGCACCGGAGGTTCGATTGCCCGGCGCTCAAGAAAAAAGAGAACAGACCGGCGACTAGGACGTTCAATTCCCCGGCAGTAGCGGCGGCGAGCGTAACAGCCGAACCGGCGGAAAGCGGCGAGATCGCGACGGTGGACGAGTGCTCTCGTCTCGTAGTGGACAACCTTTTTGTCCGAGTTAGACTGGAAAACAGTAAAGAAAATTTATTAGCATTAATAGACACTGGCAGTCCCGTATCATTTATAAAAGCGAGTGTTTACAAAAAACTGATAGATCCGGTTGGAAATAGTTTAAATAAAGTCGAGACAAGCCTAAGAAACTTGTCTAATCAGAAATTAGAAATTTTAGGAATCGTGCCGTTAAAATTAAATATAGAGTTATTGCGCGACAAAAAATTTTGTATAGATTTACATGTTCTCGACAGCGGGTCCTTTCAAGGGGATATTATATTAGGACGCGAATTTTTAAAAACAAGTAAACTTACATTGGTATATGACCCAGCGGCGAAAGATGTAGAACAAACAATCAATCTGTTCTCGTTCCTTCCTTTGTGCGTCGATAAAGGAGAAACAGAGCTTAAACAAATAATCGAGGAAAATAAGATAGATTTCGATTTCAAAACAAAGCAGAGGTTACGTGATTTATTACTTAATATACATAATAGAAAAATCGTACCTGTAGATGATAATTATGCTGTACGGGTGAACATGCGCGACACCTCGGTATTTGCGTATGCCCCGAGACGTTTTGCTCTGGAAGAACGGAAACAAATGAGGACGATCACCGACGATCTCCTGAAGCGTGGCATCATACAGACGAGTGCCTCTCCGTATTGCGCCAGGGTAGTGCTGGTTAGAAAGAAAAGCGGTCAGCCAAGGCTCTGCGTCGACTTGCGTCCGTTGAACAGTAAGGTGTTCAAATAGAAATATCCATTCCCGATTATAGAGGAATGCCTATCTAGATTGGGGGGGGGGAATATACACACTGTTAGATCTACGCGACAGTTTTCACCAAATAAAGGTGCATGAGGATTCGATGAAATACTTTTCATTTGCGACCCCGGATGGTCAGTACGAATTTAAGCGTTTACCTTTCGGCTTTAGTGAGTCTCCGGCCGAGTTCCAGAAAAGATTAATCCAGATCTTGAATCCATTTATAAGGTTGAAAAAGGTACTCGTGTACATAGACGACGTTCTCATAGCATCTGAAACGATAGAGCAGAATTTGGAAACGATCGAAAAAGTATTAATAATATTAAAAATGTACGGCTTTGAGTTGAATTTTAAAAAGTGTAAATTCTTGCGTAGAGAAATAGAATTTCTGGGGTGTATGGTATCGGAAGATGGAATCACGATAAGTCCGCGGCATACGGACGCAGTAAAAAATTATAGGCAACCAAGGGATAAATTGCAATTGCAAAGATTCCTTGGTCTCGCAAATTATTTTCGGAAATTTGTGAAAGATTACGCGTTAAAATCTAAACTGTTGCATAATCTATTGAAAAAAGGAGTTAACTTTAATTTTGACAGTCGATGCGTCGAAGCATTCGAAACAATGAAGAGTGAACTCACCGTTTACCCGGTATTAAGGTTGTATGACCCGGCAGCGGAAACTCAATTGCATACGGATGCATGCAGTACGGGAATCGGTGCGGTGCTTCTTCAGAAACAGGGCGACGGAAAGTGGGCTCCGATAGCTTATTTTAGCCAGGCGACAAATTCCGCTGAAACCAGATACCATAGCTTTGAATTAGAAATGTTGGCTATCGTTCGGGCTGTAGAACGGTTTCATTTGTATCTATATGGTATAAAGTTCACCGTAGTATCAGATTGCAACGCGTTAGTACATGCAGTTAAAAAGGCAAACCTGAATCCTAGAATAGCTAGGTGGACTCTAGCGATTCAGAATTACTATTTCGACATCATTATCGGCCAGGAAATCGTATGGCCCATGCTGATGCCTTGAGCCGCAGCGTGGCCATGGTTGATGAGCTTCCTTTAGAACGCCGTCTCGAATTTCTGCAATTGACAGATCCTGCGATACAAAAAATTAGTAAAGAATTGGAGACACGTGATAGCGAAAAGTTCGTGTTAGTGGATGGACTGATATATAAAAAACTAGACAACGGGTTGAAATTTGTAGTTCCTGAATCAATGATAATAAATAATTGAGGGCACACCACGATGACATGGCACATGTAGGATTTGATAAGACAATTGAAGGTGTCAAATAAAATTATTGGTTTCCACAAATGAGGAAACGAGTCCAACAATATATTGAAAATTGTTTAACTTGCCTCACAGCCAATAGCTCAACGCACAGTAAAGAAGGGGAGACACATTTATATCTCTTGCCGAAGGCACCTCTCGAGATTCTGCATATTGACCACTTTGGTCCTCTTCAGGAGTCTCCTGAAAATTATCGACATGTTATAATTATAGTAGATGCGTTTACTAGGTTCACATGGTTGTCACCAACCAGATCCACAGGAGCAAAGGAAGTAATAAAATGTCTGAATACTATTTTTTCGACTTTTGGCAAACCATTAGAATTAGTATCGGACAGGGGGTCTGCCTTCACATCCAAAGAAATAGAGAACTTTACGATGAATTTACAGATTAAACATAAGAAGGTAGCAGTAGCGGCCCCGTGGGCCAATGGTATGGTTGAGCGAGTCAACAGATTTTTAAGAACTTCCTTAACCAAATTATTAGATAGTCAAGAGGATTGGCAAAAGGAATTAGGCTCGATACAATATGTGATAAATAATACTTATCATTCAAGTACAAAATCCAGTCCGTCTAAGCTCATATTAGGATATGAACAACGTAATCACGTCGACAGTAAAATATCACAGCTCACGAAGGCCTTAGCTCAGGTAAACTGCGATCTGGAAAAAGAAAGAATTAATAATAGAGATACCGCTTTAGAAGCAACTGAAATAATTAGGGGGTACAACAAAATATATAGAGATGTGCATAGCAGGAAGCCATCGCTGTACAAAAAGGAATCATACGTCCTGATTAGAGACGATAGAAGCGTGATAGGTGTCAGCTCTAAATTGAAGCCACGGTACAAAGGACCTTATCTAATAACAAAAGTACTTGGTAATAACAGATACGTGGTGAAAGACATACCTGGTTTCAATTTAAAGCAGAAGCCGATGGACACTATCCTGTCCTCAGATCGACTGAAGCCATGGATAGTGGCACCTGAGTCAGATACCGAAAATACTGTAAATATTGTAGTATAGTTTAAGTATATATGTTAGTATCGAAATTATAGTTAAATTTATATTCAATTGTTGTTAATATTTAGCGTCGTATTTACTAATAGAGTTACAACTTACTTCGTTCGTAGTATGTATATATAGCTGAAAAATATGTACCTGTTGCCTCAGTAGGGTAACACAAATTAGTTTAGAATATGGCTGTAAACATTGTTTAAATAGCAAACAATAAAACTTCGAGTCGAAGTTAATGCAGGCTGGCCGAGCTGTAAGCGGCGCGTAAATAATTACCGCGATACGCAATGTCCGGCGTTAGCATCGTTTCCGACACCCGTGCGGTGCTGCCACCGTAGCATATAGGGTGGCCAAAAGATATGCGCGCGCATGCGAGCGCGACCGCGGGCCGTAGGCCGTTAGATTCGAAGTCGAGGAGAACGACTCTCTTTTGAGAAGTGCAAACGAGCAGACGTGTTATTAAATCGTGCGCATGAGAGTACTTTCGAGAAGTGTTAAATTGTAGAAGCATTCCGATCTTTATTAAATCTTTATTACTAAAATCAGTGTCCGTTGAATTTCACCTAACAACGCTCCAATCCTGGCGAGAACCTTTTGCAGTGCGTACGGGCTCCTGTGGCATCCAATTCGCCTTTAAAAATTCAGTCTTAAACACCGGTTACTTGACATACAGAGAACATTCGAGAAGAATCCAGACGAGGATCCAAAGGAAAGAGACTAACGCTTAACTCTTGAGTCATTTAAAAATAGTACCGCAGACTTTTACAATATATTATTGTGACTTCTGTATGTACCGCGTGTCCGTGATAAGATTTTTGAACAGCCTACCGTTTACCGGTTTTTGTCTTGTCTTGTTCATTCCGTTCGTAAAATACTGTCGCGAAATTGTTTAAACATTTAATGATGTTATAATTAATGAAACTTTAGCAGATCTCTTCTGTTCTACCGATATGCGCCTATACATTTATACTATCTTATCTTATACCATACCGTTAGCCAATATTAATATTTATTATGTAATCATATTGTCCATTTATCTTAATCATATGTAAACTTGTTAGTCCTAAGTGTCAAATATATATATATCTGTCAAATTATATCACCACGTGTATGTCTCTCTATACCTCTCTCTCAACCATAGACCCAACAATCCTATAGACCCGCGACGCTGTATAAAATTTGGAGAAGTGACCTTAAGTACCGTTTACATTAGTATCGTGGCGCATTCACATGCGTTTGGTGCCCAACTTTACCATGAGTTACCGAAAGTACCTAGGTACGGGTAAGTAACTCGTTCGTTACCGAATTTTACCGTATTAGAGCTCAAACTAGTAAAATATTTAAATTGAACGCTCCCCTGTCCGAACTTAACGTTTCGGAGCAGGAAAAGACGTTGCACCCTTGGAATAATCGTCTCTACTTATAGAATTTCCCTCATTCAAGAAATGGATACCCGTTCCCGCGAAGAATGTTTGATAAGCATTGACGTAAAGCGGTTCTTTCGACAAGAAAATTGGTTGTAATGGCCTACTGGGAATTTGCATACCGTCGACGTACAGAGAGAAAAAATTTATACCGTAATTTTTAAAATTAAACGGATTTAATTTTCTATCTCCATTAAATGCTTTATTATTAACGAATCCTACTATTATTCGTTTCGGTAATTGGCCTAGTATTACATTATCTAATGATTCACCCGCAACGCCACCGTGAATTGTGAATGTTTTAATCTCGACTCTCGTAAGCGGATACTTGGCCGTAACTTTACTCAGCATTCTAGCATGTGCCAGTAACACTCCAGGGCTTATTTTCGCACTTCTCACTAGTAAGACCGGGTTGTCCTGACTATTCGTGAAATTTTACAAGTAAAAACAATGGTTACGCGCAAGCAAGTACCTGGCTTTGCGAAATGCGATCGCAATCGCGATATTTGCGAGATAGCTAACAACGACGGCATCAACATCGATAACGCCAGAAGTCACGAACAACGTTGTTTATTGTTATCGACGACGTACGGACTTAATTCTTCTCACACTAAAAAGATATATGTTGGATTGCAGTCGAAGAACGATGGCGGCTTCATGCCGATTGTTAAATTAACGCGCAATTACGCCGAAGGAATTTGTTTCAACGTCAACACGTGGCGTCAGTTTCAAATCAATATGGAACATATAAATTTATACTTGAATAAGAATCTAAAGATTAAACCAGATCCTATTATTAGAGAATATTTTGATCATCTTCACTACTGCTTACGGAGCGAGGGCTGTACTGGTGGCATACAAGGAAAACAAGGATCATGCAACGGAAGATAAAGTGGAAGAAGAAGAAGAAGAAGAAGAATCTCAACCGCCGTTGAAGAAACGAAAGACTTACGCAGCTGCAATAGCGATACAGAAAACTATTTTTCTCGGCTTGGAACATATTAGAAAATACGTGGATACACATTTGACGCAGCTAGTTTCCATAGTCGATTCTGTTGATGCAACTGCGAGATATTTAATTAACAAAATAGAATTAAAACTTCTCTTGTCTTACATTAATCGTGAAATTATAAAACTTACTATCAAAGACAATTATCAGGAAATTAAACGTAATGTACAAACGCAAATAAATAACCTAACGTTTTTAGATGTTTACTTTAACATTGTATTCGTAGAATTACTTACGTTTCGATTTAATGAAATTTTTCGTATTATTTTGCTAAAACGCAAATCTTAATTTTTTATTAAAAAAATATCACTAATAAATAAAACTGTTTCTATCTTAAATCTGAACATTTTTTTTTATTCTCCTCCTCCTTCTATAATATTGTTTCTTTGAGTTTTACTGCGAGAGTAGAACATCGCACTGTAGTTCGATTCTCGAGCGTTAAAAAACGAGCTTATTATTCCTGTCACAAGCGAATAGCATAGGGAAAAGCACCGCGTACATAAGCTCATCAGCAGCGGTGCTCGGAAAAACGCTGGTGCGAGCTCACCTCCACGGAAACGCTTACTCGCGTCACCCCGCGGCAACGTATCGGCTAAAATTTGCCACGGTATTCGCTCGTATGCGTGTAAGAAAACGCTGGCGCGAGCACGCGGCCGCCGTGGATGAAGCCCCGGAGCGTAAAGATAAGCTTATATCCTCCCCCCGCCAAACCTTCTCTTTAATATTTTTAAAAAAACACGCGACACTTGCGTACATTTTTAAACATATTTACACTCACACACACACACACACACACACACACACACATACGCATTCGCTCATGCATTTATACTCTCACACACGCACTCACACGCGTGCGTAATAATTACTAAATTTCACGCAACAATTTTTTTATTTATGAACTCGCAAATATAACCTAAATTAATCATTTTGAGAAATGGACGCGCGCTGAAAACATCCGTGGACGTCGATTGTCTGCGGACCTACGGAATGCGGAAAAACGATTTTCGTGAAAACTTTTCTTCGGCACTTATCCGACATGTCCGATGTTCGATTCGAGAGAATTTTATTTTATTACGCTGAATGGCAAGATGCGTATCAATGTCTTCAATGCGACACGAGTAAAAATAAAGAAGAAATTATAAAGGATATACATAGGAACGGATACGGTAATACTCTGTTAAAATCGAAGAAAAATATAATCGAATTTTGCGAGGGGTTACCGCGTCCGGAA